ACCTGCTGTGTCTTGCCTATACCGATGCTGTGAAGTCCGACCCCTATACACATACCGTGGTTGTAATCTTTAATATGTGTGGATGAAATACTAGCAATTTTGGGTTGTTCTAATTGTCAGGTCAAAAGGGTGGTTCGCGTACTCGAGCTTTCTCTAGGGCAATTTATTTTTTTATATATTGATTTTTGTCCATTATATTTTTTCTACTCTTACTATTGATTTTGGAACTTTGGAGCCTTTGCAATTGCTGATTTTTTGTCATTTTCGATATTTATTTTATGATATTTAAATCAAATTGGTTGTCATAATACTTTTAATTCTAAGTTGGAGATCAAAGTTGATTAATTATTGAAATGGAATTGCATATGAAGATCGCCATGGAGTATTTGTAGTCAAAAATGCTGTGAACATTTGTGCAAAATATGTGAATGATCCAACCCTTTGAATAATCAATTCAATTGTAGTACCGTTGATTATATTTAATTGCTTACAGTTGTTTTGATTGTTAAGTGAAACCTATTGAATTGTTCATTTGTTCTGTCTCTATGGGCTGCATTTCCTTCCAATTAAAAGAGAGACTCTAAAATGGGAAAAGTTATTTCATAATGGATTCTACTAACATAGAAATGCTACTGCCTTAAGAATTTACCATTGGATGCCATTATTCGATAAGAGTGAAGCACCGTGGTCCCGATTGAAGTGGGTTTTATCATTATGGTGATAGTTATTTCGCAATTATCGATCCATTCCTGCATCTGATGATCAACCTCTTTTCAATGAAGACAAGAGGATTGTTGTTATTATGGTAGATTACTTGGCTTAATTATTAGTTACTTAAATAATCTTTTACCAATCGTGCGAATTTTCAAGTGTCTAAAACCGAGATTGAACTTAACGTTGATTTGATTAACAACGCGTTCATTGAAATTTAGGTATATGGAGAAATCTACAAACCATGTGTTTGCCTAATCGTAAATTCTGGACAGGAAGCAATTGTGATGTTATTGCACGTCATACGAGAGCTTAAACTTTTAAAGAGGAGTAACATTTATTTGTTAAAAATTATCCTTCAATGGTAATGAAACTATGTTCTCTTCTTAACAGTATGAAGTGTATGGAGAAATTTTTATTGACAAAATAATATAAGGTTCTTTGAATCTATTCCTTCAACTCCTTATGAGCCCCTAGTTCTCAGACATGCTTAGAGCTATAAATGGATCAGATATGGATCGAATTTGCACAAATCCGATCTGTTAAGAAAATTATCTTATTCGATCAAATTCGATAATCTAGCAGATATTTGATTGTTAAATTCATATCCGATCTGTCGTATTATTGGATATCCAATCCGAAATTTAAAAATTTAGAAAAAATAAAAATATTAGTCAACTTCTAACCCTAGAATTAAAAGGCTTAGATAGCTTTTTAGTCAATTCCTGGTCCACTTATTTATAAATTGTGAATTTTATGATATTCTAGTAAGTATCCGAGGTGGGAAGTGATAAGTTGAAAATAATGAAAGCAATTCGCTCCTTTGGTTGTTTAATTTATAAAATAAATTAATTATTATTTTTATCTTACTTTAATTAACAAAAAAATAAATCTCTTCATATATCTCAATTAACAACATTATACTATTATCTAATATTATTAGTTATTTGAAAATTATGTTTAAATATAATACAAGTTTCAAAAAAAAAATAATAATAATAATAAATTATGTGTAATAAATTATGCGATAATATATAAAATATATTAGATTATTATAATAAATCGGATCGAATTGTTATTGGATCGGATTGACCTATATCCCTATTTACTCCATTTAGTTAACGGATTATCATATTCGAATCTTGATCGAATTATTGGACTGATGTCCTAAATTCATCTCCCATTAATTTCATCGAATTCAGATCGGATTCCTTGACAGCCCTATACATGCCTTTGAAGATATGAGTCCGGAAAATTAATACACTGCGTACGAAAAGCATTTGTCTGATCCTTTTCAATTACGGACAACAATATGTAACTATATATTTCATTAAGCACAATTTTAATTTAAACGGCGAGTTCAAATAACGAGCCAAAAAATAGCGGTTAGGATTAAATTCAATAATTTGATTTCGTTTCATTTTCGACATCATTTTAAATTAAAATTTTATTTTGACGTCAAATTTAAATTGTTCTAATTAATACGAACTAAAAGAAAAAATTGAGCCATAAGGAATTTTTTTACAAAAAAAATTTTAAAAATGTAAAGAACCCGTCGAGGCCCCCCTTCCCTTCCCTTCCCTTCGCCCCTGTACATGTGATCTATAATGAGAGGTCAAGATTTGATTGCAGTCTATAATGAGATTGCATTTTTTTTTTTTTTATATATAACTAATTATAATCTCTCTCTCTCTCTCTTTCTCTCTTTAAACTTCCGTTTGATATTTTTGTCCAGTTGAATCTTTACCAAATTAGATTATTAACGAAGTGTGTTGGATATTGGTTAAATAAATCGAGAATTGAAAAATCGATTAAAGTTCGTATCGACTTCGGCCAAATACTCAAAAGCTCAACTCAATCCGTTTAAGCAAAATTGTTTGCCACTTCGCCGCTTCGAGGCGCACAAACGCCCGGTCAGGTCGCGGGGGTCGAGGGGGCAGCGCCCCTCGTGGGGGGTCGGGGGCAACGCCCCCGAAAGAGAATTTTGATTTCTCTGCATGTATTGAAGGGTATATTTGGCATTTCTAATCGAATGAATGAGAAATTACGAAAAAGGACGAAAATCAGTGAATAGACACATTTTCATAAAGGTGCATTGTTTGGAAAGGGTGCATGGTTTGGCCTCAACCATTTCGTCAACACCCTTTCGTGGTCTATAAATAGGATCCTTTGGGTGTCCTATTCCACACAATTTGATATGCAAAACTTCTCTCATCCTCTCTTCTGTCCAAAATCAAAATCATTTCATTTATTTTGATTTTCCTTCATTTCATCCTTGGAGTACATAAGCCTAAATTTGGTTCGTTGTACTTGTGTTTTGGAGTGCTACAAACACAAGTGTAGCCGTTGTATTTTGGGAGTCGATTGTCGAAATCCATAGGCACCGTTGCGGAGCAAATTTGACTTAAGGACAAAGAGTCCAACTCTTGCCTCGACTTTGTCACCATCATTATACTTATTTCGGCGTCACTATTCACAAAAATCATCCAACAAAGTGGTTATTGTGCGAATACCAGTGAATGGCAGAGCGTTGTAAATATATAATAATTATCGATGACTCTTTAATCTTATCAAAATATTTAAATAGGTTTTATTTACTCTAGAAGAGTGCATTTTCTTCTTATTATATACTTGAATTTTGACTCTTTTAATTCTATTGTCTTGATATATTATTCTCTCATTTTATAATAATTTTTCCAATTTTAATATTTCAACGATGTTTTCTTTGCCAAGTCTAATATTCTGGCTAATTTTTCTTTTAATTTATTAAAAATCGATGTGAAACTATCCTTTGACACAATCTACCAGCAGAAGTTCGCAAGTTATTGCGTCAGCCCGAGGGTTTATCCAATGTGCACCCGAAAGGTAGAGGTTGTGGGTTTTCCCGTCATAAAAATAAATAAGTAAAATCAATAGAGTAA